TTTCCTTTTTTTTATGTGACTAGATGAAGATGATGCAAATGAATATGGTTAATATAGTTAGTGGTTCATAATGATTATTGAAAAATTGTATGGACAAAATTAGACAAAATTAAATTGTATAGACCATTAATTTTTTATTTCTTAGTGTTTAATTTGAATTTTCATCTGATTATTTGCATCTTATTTCTTTTACAATTTTATCTTATCATATCTGATAATGTTGATATCACTTAAATTGAAAAGAACCAATAAATGGAGGAATACTGTGTTAACTCTTTTCACAGTCCTTAATAATCAATAAATAATTAATTAATTAAAATAATTAAATTTTAGATGAGAATATCCAAACTGTTTTGTTGAATTTAAAAAATCCTATCACAAAGCGACAAATCAAATCTTTTAATTTATCTTCAGATTAAATAAGATTGAATATGCATTTAAGGAAATTTTCATATTCTTTATCATAAGATGATCGATTTTCATTAATATAATCAGAATAATCAAAATTTCAATAAATTTTTTCCAATGAAGAAATATTCAAATAATTTTAGAAATAATAAATTTTTAAAGAAATACTAAAGCAGCTGTTTTCATTGTTTTAAGAATTCCTGCAATGTTTTTTCGTCTCAGCAAATTTAAAAATTTTTTTTACATCTGTATTTAGCTCATAAAAGTTTATACGATTCATTATATAGTCTCAATTTATACAATAAAATTAGCTATAAATTACCTCATTTAACCATCTTTTTCGCCTATTTTTACGCTGAAGAAATTATGTAATTACTTTTTTTTATTGCTGATAACAATATTTTATTGAATGTTTTTTACTGCTGACACTGGTAATAATATTTTTAGAGAATTATATAAATAATACTTTAAAATGATAAACTGATATAGCTAAAAAATATTTAGCGACAAGATATGATGAAACTATTTTATATGACTGACTACTCAATAAATAATGCTGCATCGGTGGCAAGCAAATGAATATTTTATGAAAAGGAAAATTTACTTTAAGGAATTTTGATGAAAAAATTATGAAAAAAAATGATAAAAGTCAGCAGAATTAAAAATTTATTTGAATAAAATTCTCTAAAAACAATAATTCAATAAAGCTAACTAGAAATTGAGAATCGAAAGTTCACATTAACTATTCTTGCCAACTGGCTTACCATCCACCCACTTTGTTATTCGAATAACTGTTTGCTGATCACGTTTAGCAATATTGGCTTTTGTTTCACCCTGAAATTATTAAAATGATAAAAAATTATTCAAAAATTTTCCTTAATCCATCTGAAAAAGTATTTTTTTTACTAAATTCATTAATTAACCATAAAAAGTTAATAAGCTATTAATAATCGTTTAAAGAGTAATGAAGAAAATTGATTCGAAATTGCAAAAAATTACTGAGGAAACAAAATGACTTGAAATCATGAATAAAACTCACTTTAACACATTTACGTAGTGTTTGCGCAGCTATTTCAGAATATTTCAAATAACTTAAACCTGCTTGTCGCCAGAGAGACATTTCAGTATCTCAAAAGAAAGGAAAATTTAGGAAAATGCAAAAGATAAACAAGTGGCAAGAAAACCAGCGAAATGCATTAATACGCTTGTTTATTTTATTTTAGCATCCATTTTAAATATATAATTATTTTTGGCCAAAGGAAAAAACGTTCTTAAAAAAATCGTAGTTAATGGATTTACAAATCGCAATTTGCTTTCTCTTCCTCAGATTTTTATGGTTGTGAAGCAAACAATAGAAGAATCATTAGAAATACGACTCACTTTCCGAATTTTTGGATAATTTTATGTGGATTAAACGTGACTGCATATGGTTATTTCTTAATTAATTCCGTTTCATCTTTTCCTTTAGTTTTGTAGCCTTTTAGCCTTACTCACCTATCAATGATACAAATGGCCGAGCGATTGTCACAATAATAAATAACACGACCTTCACACCTTTCCACTGGAACTAATCTAATCAATAATGGTGAGACGTATTAGAAGAAGAAGAAATAACACGACTTTCATCATTTCTAAGGTATATTTTACGAATTTGCCGAGTGGATAAAATCGTATATGATCGTATCCGTCTTCGTTCAAATATCACTTGCATTACCATCACAGAGCATCACCATCGCTGATTAGGGAGCGCTCTTCGTTGCCCCACCACAAGAATTGACACATATTTCGATGGTTGAAATATAAATAGTTGACGTATGATTGAACGACTAATCAAGATCTGGACTGACACAATCAAAGAAAGATTTTGAACGTATAGGCGAACAATATATGGACTTAACCGATGGAAAAAGGAATGGCTTCTAAAATGGCCTCTGTCGA